CATGCTTGTTCCATGCTTTTCACACATTTGTCTTACATGATGCATCAGTATTACCAAACAGCTTCCAATGTCCTGTATTATTTTTTGCTAGGACATAAAATTTACTTCCTAGCAAAAAAAAACCAATGGATTGGGGATGCCCATCATCTTTATGGTTTTTAAGGTTGTCCTTAAATAAAATGTAGCATCAATAACCTATTAGCAACCAAAAGCTGAATGACTTCCTTTCGTTGGAACATTTCATATGTCTCTTGAGGACAAATCAGATCAAGCTGCTGATCTGTACAAGTACATCCTATTTTTAAACTACTGTAAGTTGTGTGAAGGAAAGGGTCTGGAATTACTGTGGATACATCTGTACAAAATAGTGAGAATTTAACATTTTTCCCTCAAAACTTTTTTAAACCTGTTCAACTCAGTTCATAAAACAAATTGCTTGTCCTGTCCCACCAGTGTGTCTTGACCCTGTCCTTGAGATGTTTTCCACTTTGTTGTAAGCATCAAGCTCATTCTCCCCAGCCCATGTGTCCTGGGCCTCTCCTTCATGACTGGTGAATCACACCATAGTTCTGTTACGGCGACTTAGCTCAAACATCTCGTTGTTAAGTAACTTGAGGCCCGGGCTGGACGGGAATCCTGGTCTCCCATGGAGAAAGACTACAAGCTTGCGCATTAACCTTTTGTTATTCCACTCCCTAAAGTTGTTTTCAATTAATTTATCTTCTGCTGAAATACTGCTTTTACAAGTTGCAAGTAGCTAATAACCAGCATAAAGCTACTTTCCTTCTTAGAAAATGTAATCCAGAGACAGTTCCTTATCACTGTCAGTCAGGAGTGGAGAGAGGAATTCACCACCCCTTAGCCCACATGGTGGGATTACAAGGACTAAACCAGTGTGCTTTCCAATGTTTACTCTGAGAATAAGGGTTGGTTTAACAAGTCAGTGTCAACAGTACTTCACAATGTGAAACAAGGAAGTGTTATCCGGGAATGCATAATCCATTACTTTAAACTTAATGAATCCCTTGATCTGTGGGACACCAAACACTTAAGGATCAGATATTCTGGTGTTGTTGTCAAATATCAAACAAGAAACGATATATAAACCTCTGCTGAATACCTTTTGCACGACAGCTACATAATTTCCGTGCATCTCACAGGACTCTGACAATGCCAAACTAAACTGTTTTATTCACAAAGTGCTTAAATTACCTCTTGCCCCGATTTAACTTAAAATGCTGCCAATTGAGTCGTTTTAATGTGAGATTTTATTTACTTGAGTCGTCTTGCTTTCCAATAGAAAGATGCCATAAAACATTTAACATTTCTCAAATTCATTGACATGTAGTTTTAATTAATTGCTGGTCATCATTTGCTTAATCATGGATGCCCATCATCAGCGTAAAGAACGCATCCTATTTGAAAGAAGCTTCACAGTGATATGGCACAAAACACAGAAAAAGATTTGAACACAACTGGATTCATGTCATGTCACTGTCAGCCTTCCCCAGACTGAATTTGGCCTGTCCTGACCACTATGACCTAGCAAACATATGTGAATAAGAATTATGGGTGTTCCACATGGCCTGCGGGATCACAGACTTAACAAAGTACAAAAGGAACAAACACAAACTAACTTGTCTCTTCCACCAACATAGTAAAAATCTTTTTTGCCACCACCACCCACTCAAATCACATCCCTACAGCACAAAGCCTCTAAGAACTCACACAGCAAGATAGCATCTCAGAGACACTAAGTTATGGAAGAAATCCACATTCGGTGCTCAATATCTGAGCACACTATGAGCACTAAAAGATCTGTTATTTATCCTCCACAAGATGGATTATACTGTAATAACAACACAATAGAAAAATCAAGAGCAAACACCAGAAAGTGTGATCCACAGCATACCAGAAGAAGAAAGCTGAAAGTTCCCAAACAGAAGCCCATATCTGTTGAAAATTCAAACGTAATCTACTCTGAGCGTCACTAGATGAACTAACGCCTCAGGCACAACACAGTCGGCAAGATTAGGGTGAGGAGGGAAGACTAAATAAAAACACGGCTTTGCTAAATGTACTCAATTCAGTTCTGAATAAACAGCTGAGGGGGTATTCATTTTAATTAAATTATCGAAGTGAAGACAGCTGAGATCCTCCAGATTGGATGTGAATGGGTAGTTTCTCTCCCTCAAAATAGGCCATGTTCTCTGGTAAAGATTTTCTCATGTGAAGGCCTCATTCTTCAACTTCTATTTATTTTGCTTACCTTAATGTTCACTTTTTTAAAAAACACAGAGAGAAGGTGAATACAATTCACACCCATTAAAATATAATTCTGCAGTCTGCTGATAACCAGAGATGAAGGCATTAAGCAACCACATATGTTGTCACTTCTTCATTGAGGACTATTTTCCATTTGGTCATAAATTAAAAGAAAAACAGCTTTCTGAGGAAACATTTCCCCTTGTGTTTTCAAGATTTTCTGGCATATTAATATACTTATTAATATTATAAAATACTTATTAATATCTGAATATAATGGATACAGTGTCCTCTATATCTACACATCTCCCCTTAAAAAGAGTAACAACAAAGTTCTTGTTTTCTGTTTACAATTAAGTAAATACATTTCTGTCAAATGTTTTGGATTTCAAAAAGTACATTATAGAGAGCCTGCCCAAGATACCATAAAGGTTTCTGTAGTGCAGTACAGCCACATCTCATTGACTAATTACAATTCTCAAAAGTGTTAACTACATAAAAGTATATGGACGTGCCATAGTCTGAGACAGCCCTTTGAGCAATAAAATGTCAATCACAATTCATCTTTGGAAATTCAAGCAGGGAAGATGGAAGATGGAAACACTATATGGATGGGAATGATGATCTGAAAAAAAAACAAGTTTTTTTTTTTGCCGAACAAGTTTCTGCCTGTCTTCCTCTTGAAGGACCACATATTCCACATCACAGCCCCTTTGTTCTTTTCTGATTAGCTTAAGAGGGTAACCCTCCACTTGTAAAACCAGCCACAAACATCCTCCTAATCCCTCTTGGGACAAGCAGCAGGGATGAGGACAGATCTCTAAAGCTCAGAGCTCAAAATTCCTGGCTGAAGAAGTGGAGTTATTGAAAATTCTGCTTGGAAAGATGACGAGAAAGGAATATTTGCAAAACAAAAACCTTTTGGACTTTCTGAGCATTTACCGCTTATCCCTTTAAATTAAAATCTCTTTTGGTAATTCAGAAAATTACAACCACTCCCCCACACACACTTGCCCCCCCCAGAAGAACATCAAATATGAAAGAGTTATTGTTTGTTGTGTAAAGCAATACTTACTTTATTCAAGCTTTTCAGAAGTCCTTAAAAAAGCTGTCAGTGGGGATGACTAATAATGCTATTAAAGTTACATCCACATATATTTGGATTGCCCTAGAAAGACAATGCTGTGAGAATATACAGATTTTAATTTATTCCTGTGAATTTTGCTGCCCTAGTAAACTAAAGAATTTGTTGATGGGACATTAAATAGAATAAATACAATTTGATCATCTAAGTGTAAAAATCTTTGTAAAGGAAACCATCTGACCAAGAATGCCTATAAATTAATGAGTGGACTGTGACTAAAAACATATTTGATAATCTTAAAGTAAACATTTTCAAAATACATTTCCATTCTACATTTGGCTGACATTAAAATTAAGATGCTTCAAATGGATTTTTCAAATACCAACAGATATAATAGATTTCAGTGCATCACTTGTATATTTGAGCGTTACTCAGATGAACAATATGGTATTTTTATGTACTGCATTAACTACTGAGTAACATCAAATGGATTAATTCAACCCTAAAAAGTATTTTTGAATCATTCCCCGTTAAGATATAGTATCTTTGATTAAATGGAAAGAAAAACAAATTCCTTACTATAAGAGTAGCTTATCGATAAACATATTTTGCCTTTAGGGTGTCTGCTATAAAAGAAATAAATAGACAATCTAAGCAAAGCAAGTTATAGTTGAGCAAATCGTGATAGGCGCAACCTGAAAAGATCCGGAATACCATGTGGTTTAGAATAAGGGTGCCTCCAGGCTCTGAGATTGGAAGGCAGACATACTCCTGTCTAAGGTAAACATTATTGCTGTTACATGAATGAAATGTTTTGAAAGCCACAGCTATTTTTCTTCTACACCCTACTCTCATGCTATAATCACTAACTTCCCTTTCATGTATCAGGTATTTCTTGTGGCCTGGTTGTTAATTACCAAGAACCTACAAGTACACACTGCTGAAGATCAAGAAGACAAAGAACTGTGAACATGCTGCTCATTCTTTCTCAAATCATTTGAAAGGGCTATAACTTTGTAAATGTACTCCTTTCCAAGATTGTGCTTTGCCAATCAAATCAATTTCTCATTTTTTGATTTGATCTGATTTCTCTTTGCTTTCTTAAGATACTCTTATAGGAAACAATACTTTCAGAACTTCAGCATCAAATTATCTAAATACAGACACAATGCTTTACAAATAGTAATATGAATTTTCAGGCTTTAACTAAGAAATTTCAGATTTTCAATCCACTGCTTGATATTTATTCTCAGCTCCCCGTTTACAGTATTACATGTATCATTATTGGCGTCTGCTTGTCATATGAATTGTTTCAGTTTGCTGGTAGCGGTGATGTAAAGTGTGTTGGCATTATAAAAAACTTCTTTTAGGTGTAACAAACAATTTCTTGCCTCCTTTGCACTCTAAAGTCAAAACAGTGCAACCTGAGTAACCCGACACTTAACATAGGAAATTGGGTTAATGTTGTTATCATGAAGCACACAAAATAACAAGGTTAAAAACATACACTTCAAAAGAACCAGAAACTAATGTCTGATCTAGACATATTTAGTAATAAATATACATACCTAGATACAGTTTTAATATTAAAAAAGTCATCAGAATTAACTGTATTATAATCACCTTTACAAATGTTACAAAAAAATGTCACCTTCTGAAGCACCATGAAGGTGGCCGGGAGCTGCTTATATCCGGTGCTGATATGGTCAACTGTTCCACCTGACAAAACTGCTTTTATCCACTTCAGCTCAAACAAATAAAACAAAATATGTGCAGTATGATTGACGCTACTTTTAAGCCTTTGACTCAATTGCAACTTAATAGGAAATAAATGTGGAAAAAAACAATGTCCCAAATCCCTGACATAAAATGCACATGTGAATATACATTATTTGTGCACTTATTGAACGCTTAGACACATATCAATGGCAGGCAGTAATTGTTACAGGTTTGTTTTACTATGTATACCCTAAAGATGCTTGTCGTCATAAAATGTAGGAGACACACAAAAAAGTGATCTGAAGATTTTTTTATTGTGAGCCCGACTGACATTCTACTAACAGGCACTATAGGATCAGAGTTTAAAAAAGGAGCGTTTCAGGATAAATGGTTAAGGGTAACAAGTCATCTTTGGGGAAAAAGACACCTGAAACTTAAAAGCAGGAAAGCATAGAGCATAGTGTCAGAAAGTAGTGAACTTACAGATGGAGACATAGTTCCGTTGGGCAGGTATGGATCTGGCAGCATCAGGAATGGGTATCCTGAGTAAGCAGGCGCTTTGTACATTCCTCCATCTTGACGTTTACTCACTTCAAAATGACACAAAAGAGTCAAAGTACAGGGATGTACCAAAACATGCAGTTTACGTATCCATGCAGTCTTTCAACCTCAATGCTATCATGTTTTTTTTTTTGTTGCAAAATATCCCTACGTACTTCATTTTGTTATTCAGACACAGGCGTCTTACCACGGATGAAATTGAGTGAGCTGGTCTCACTGGTTCTTCGGCAATGATTTTGATCCCCAAAACAGCAAAATATGTTTTTGCCTTAGCTTTGAACAATTTACACAAGATGACTTCTGAGTTTCACCTATGACTGGAAGATCCTCTGCAGCATGGACAGAAAACACCTGTGTCTCTTTGCATGTTTTGCATAGATTAGTAATATTCAAGCACAGATGTGGCCTCAGTCTTCTGATTTTTTACTACGATTATTCTTGTTTCTATACATTAATGAACCCATTTGTACTTTCTGGCCTCTGTAAATACACTGAGAGATATGTGCTACGTTTTAGACCCATTTGTGGTAATGTGTCATAAGGAAGCACAGACATTTTCAAAACAAAGGGTTTTCTAGGTAAACTAAATTAAGTAACAGGTCGGTCAGTATGGTACCCGGCATTGACCTTTCCTAGGAGGTTACCGGGGAAGTGAGAACTTGGGTACGCTATGAATGGCAATACTATACACCACAATTGCTCATCAACCCATTACGAGTTGTAAACGATTTGATAACTGACCATTGGTAATGATACCGAAATTAACTTTCTTTTTATGTTCCGTCAGCACCATGCACAAATACATAAAATCCAACAACTAAAAATAGTTCTCACGGGATGCATAAAACCGCTGCATTAAGAGTATATGCAACGGTGCGGCCATAAAGGTAACTGTGAGCATTGATTTAACTCGCTGCTACATCTCGAAACACACGCGCAACACTTATCAAATTGCTACAAACTTACCGTCCTCTAGATGCTCCCTGTGCTTCTCTGTGTAAACTCTGTGTTCGTCCTGCTGTACACGCCTGATCGCCTGTTAAAACCCGTGTGGATGACAAAATAACAAAAATGTTTTTGAGACAAAAAGATCAAAAGTAACGACTACAACAATAATAAAACTTTTTACAATTAAGAGATCAGGCAGAGCATCTCTAGTTACAACGACAACAGCACAGAAACAAGGTTCTCTCTCACCCCCGGGTCTGCTACCGAATTGGGATTCTGGTTTATCTCCGACTCGTTCACTAAAGACGACTTCAGGTCTGCTAAATCCCTCTCAGTAAAGGCATTTTCTTGGATTTTCTCGTCTTGTTCTCCCTCGTCCTTAAATGAAATCATCTCGTCGTTAGCTCCGAGATCATCTCCTCCACCGCTATTGAGTTGAGGCATTTTGCTGAGAGAAGAAAAAAAAGAAACACTAGTTTTCTTTTTTGAAGAAAGCCAAGCACCCAAAGTTTTGCTTTGTTTTTCCTCTTCTGTTGATGTGCTCGGATATAACAAATATAAGAAACAAAGCAAAAGTTCTTAAGCTAAGAAGTGGTCCCTCACGGCGAAACTACTGCAGCCCAGCAGCAACAAATAGTACATTTGTGCTACGAGACGAGGCGAGGGCTCCAACATCAAAGAGCACCGCCTTGTGATTGACAGATTCAATGACTTGTTGGGGGTTGAACAATTGTTTCAGCGAAGGTTTCCGCTCTTAAAGAGACAACTACTTTTAAAACAGCTTCTGCAATATTCATGAGTTTTAACACTTTCAAAACTCAAACGGTTTACGAGGGCTGTGAAATGTCACAGCAACTTTGCCAGAGGCTCTCATAATTTGCAGTTTAAACTAGCGTGATAAGGAATCTAACGACTTTCCAAAAAAATCCCGTTTTCATATGTGCGTCAACAAAAATTACTTAACGGTTTCCATAAACCGTCCTACTCTGAAATCCCTACACACGACGTTGAGTTTGACAACCTAAAGATACTTTATATTTGTTATATGTCTTGAAGACCTCGGATTTATAAATGCAATCATAAAACAATATGGATAATGAATGAATAAACTAATAATAAGGAAAGTTTTACCACCCCAAGCAGAATCATTTCCCCGTAATTAATCTTCCTCAGCTCCTACTGTTTTTACACTGGGTATTCTGAAACAAAAGGAATATCTAAAACAATATCTAAAATCAAATAGTCGCACACCTACGTTAATATACTCTCGAAGGCTTTCATTTTAAAATTCTACTATTATGATACAGTTTGTAATGTCCTTTACCTTTGTGTTATTAGGCCTGTAGAGTTGCCCCAGCGTCTGATGTAGCTTTCAACAGTTACTCCCCACCACTGCGGTATCTAATTAACCAGGTTTCCTCTTTACCTATTAAGAGGTAAAATAAAGTGAAAACTTATTTTGTTTAAAAGTAGCATACAAATTACAATCAATTTTCTTTACGATAATTCAAAGCAAGCTGTTTGTGTTACTGTGTAAAGTTATTTAAGTGTTTAAACTGCTACATGTTGTTTTGTTTTCCCGATTGTCACGCATAAGTGCGAATTTATGCAAAACTGTTTGTGCCAAAGATTAAAACAAATTCTTCTAGTTTTTATTTAGTGATTTACAAAAGCTGGGATTTCATTGTTTGACCTGGACTCTTCCTGATTAGACATATTCATGCAAATAGCAGTGATTATAAATTAATTTAAAACATGATAAATACTGATCCGTGTATAATACTTTCATACTGTCAACGTTGTCCTAATGTAATATAGGTTGTAAAACGCATTTGAGGTGACGCTGACTACGGGCATTTCCGGATCTTCTTTTTAATTAAAATCTAAAAAATACAGGACATGATCCTATTTCCTACTTTGTTAGATAAAGTGTTTTTTGTCCTAAGCCCTTCAGAGAAAAGGAAAGCATTCCATAATACAAGTTGTTACCCAGGATATAATTTTATCTGGCTACTGGTTCCATTTTGCAACCAGTCATGTTCGAATAATCCCAAAAAGCAGATTATGTAACTCTGAAATTGATATTTTAAGGAAAATTAACAGGAACTCCAACTAGAAATAGAAAGTGCTATTTTCTTTTGTCTTGCAGTACTTCTGCAAGAGGTAGTTGAGATGTTAAGTTGGCCAAAGTAGTCAAAATGCTAAGAACACGCCTATTATGTATAAAAGCTCCAGTATCTTTTACTTTTTACTTTTCTGAATTTTTAAGGCTGCCTGAAACATGGCATCATGGTCTTTTCAGGTTTTAATTTAGAAATGTTTATATTGTTTCATGCTGTGACTTAATTTTTGGTAATCTGTTGCCCTGAATAAAAATGATGAGCCACAGCTGGGAAATAAAATGAAATACAAACATAAAATGTGTCTAGTATTTGCATAAAGCTGAATATTTATACAATATCATCCATGCATATTAATAAAAAGATTAAAACAAGACGCTTAATATATGCAAATCTAAATTATAAATGAGTTGTTTAAACTCCTTGTTGATTCGACTTGATTAAATATGGACAGCTGTTTTTCATAGGATTTTTTCCCCAGATTATTCATTTTAAGTTTTTCCTCTTCTTGCAGATTGCCTTATCTACCTGCAAGCCTATAGACTCTTTTTAAATTGAATTGTGTTTGACTCTTGTATTTGATTGATATATTTATTGCTATATCTGTCTCTAGCTGGCTCATCTGTTTTGGCTATATGACTCATTCTTTCACTGTTCCTTATATCTTTATCTCTTATCACTTTTAGTAATTGCAGACATGACGTCAGATTTCAGTAAATTATTACTTTCTGCTTTGCCTTAGGGACAGGAAACATGAAAAAAAGAAACTTTTTTCAGCCACCATCAACACTAGCGCTTCTTTTTTAATAGTACATGAATGTACTGAGTCAAATTCAGACTGGCAACAAAGCAGAAGGGTCAAAACAGCAATGTCTCTGAATATAATTACATCGACAGATCAAAACAAAGGCATTAAAAGTAAACAGCAATTAGATGTGTTCAAAGTATTGGCAAGTACTAGAAGGACAAATAACAAACGCATATCTTCATACTATATATATATAGAAAGAGATAACCTTAATATTTTGATCAATCAGGCCACATTTTCATATACTGTATTTTGTCAGAAAGAAAAAAAGTGCTTTTTATTTAATAATGTATATAACTGAACATTTGTATGCACTCTATTAAGACAAATGCATTACAAGAGTTATGAAATATGCCCTTAATAATGATTGAATAAAACAACTCTATGGTTTTAGAATTGTAAACTGTCAGTTTCAATAACTTTAAATAATGTTAACTGGATTTTCTCTTCCTTTGCTTGGTGCTTTTAAACAGTCCCATCCATACTACATTTGATATTAACCATATGGTAGTGGTTATAATTTCAAAAAATCTAAATTATATATAATTCAGATCTTTATTTATAGTAAACACGTATTTTCCATATTTTTCTAAAAATCTGGAAACGTAATGAAAATTTAAACCAAATGTGTTCACGATAACTACTAAAATTCTTATTTGTATTTTTTAATTTCTTGTTTTTATTGGAATGTGCTCAGAATTTTCATTATGATTATGGAATTAACACATTGATACATATTATATAAAAAACAGATAAACTGATGAGTTTTTGCTAGGCCATCTTATTTTTTTTTACTTCTGGTACTTAAATTATTTTTTCTTTTAGGTGATTGTAGGATGTTCTGTAGAACCACATACTATATGTGGTCTGTATGGGTTTTCTGTGACTTTCTGTGGTAATGAAATTATATTAAAATTGTGTTGCCTTTCTAAATCGATCCAGTCACCTGCCTCTTGGATTATCTTAAAGCTTAGTTGACATTAAATTGTTCAGTCCCATGTTCTTCTTTGAATACTGAATGAGAATCAACATTAAGTCATAAAGAGAAATAGATTCAACATTTTGTTTCTAATTAGTGGCTACTTTTCTAAATACACCTTACTGCTTAGCTGCAAATCAAAATGATTTTTTTGGGAAATTATTAGGATGAAAGAAAACAAATACAGTTCAATGAAGTGAATACACTTAATAACAAAAAAGAAATGCTATCATTTGTCACCTGGGGTAATCTGTTGTGCATGAAACACAGTATCTTTTTCACAGTATCACAGTATCTTCTTCCCCAGCTCTAAACGATAAACTATTAATTCTCTTCTGAACAAATTTTATTATATGTAGCATAAATTATAGATCCTTAAAAATGACAGGCTCTGCTTTCTAAATAAACTTCATGCACATTAAAGAAGAAAACTAATTAAATCATATCCTTTCATTGAGGTTAGCCCACAGTGAAGGAAATAGTTCCTAACTCAAGCCATTTGTGTGTTTTATTGCTAGTTTCCCTCAAATAGAAAACTTCTTTTGAGCAATATCCACAGTGCTGTACAGAAATAAGTTAGACATATGTGTACAATACAACAAACCTTTGACTTAACATTAAGAAAGAGCAGTTAATTGTTTTGTCTTGTTATAGAATTTCAAGAAATTGCACATTTTAAACTGACTACATTGCTGAGGTGCTTCGTATATTCCCCTTAATTCAGTAGTTGGTGTTCAACAAATCAAAGAGGATCAAATTTATAGTAGAGGTTTAAAATTACTTTTATAAAGCTTTCATATTGTGACATATGTTACCATATTAATACAACTGTTATTAACATGATAATCTTACAAATACTACTTATTATTTCTCAGAAGTGGTTTGTGAACATTAAATGCAGCATTAATCATTTATTACAAAACGTTATCTGTAGCTTAAAAATAAAGCTCAACATTTTACCTGACTAAATTTAATCTGACCCTTAAATCATGTATTGCCTGCAGAATTCAAAAAAACTCAAACAAATATTATGGCTTCATGAACATGTTATATACTGTAGCTCAGGGACAGTCACAGTTTGCCACCACTAGTTTTTGACAGTCCATGACGGACTGCATTCTGTTTGAAAGAAATGAACAATTTGAACAATTATTTTGATTTACAATGACAGCATTGCCAACAGCCTGTAACAGACAATCCACTAAAAAAGATCAGCATTAACCATACATAAAAAACAGTTTTAAGAAGTTGTTGTTTTCAGATGTTGAGTTTGTTGCATGAAGAAAGAAGAAAGTAGACTGAAAATGCAGCAGAACGCATTTAAAAATGCATTGAGTGAGCATGCTCCTGCCCTCAGCAGGGGAAAATAGGTCGAGCTCGGGACCCCCTCGGGTGGGAAAAAGTTGCAAGACCCCACCACCAGAAAGTTGTAAGAAAAACATTATTCCGAAAACTATGAGAAAACTATGTTTTCTGTTGGTAAGTCAGTAAATAAAGGTTTTGTAAGTTGGCAATCCTGAGTAAACTAATTATATTAAACCAAATAAACCAGGCCAGCAGTAAACAATAATCACAACTGTGTTTTTTCTGGCATGATCTGCAAAACACTGCACATTATCATTTTAGCTGAGCACTAGACCAGATGCTAGAATGGCATTAATACCTGATAGACAATAGGCTGTCTAAAAGGCTAATGAATCATCATCATAATTAAACCCTAAAAAGTAGAAGCCTGTTACAATTATAGTATCAGAGTCCTTTGTTCCA